GAAATCCTTAACGAGTGTAAACATAAGAAAGCATGGTTACTGGAATAAAAGAATAATTATTCTAATTTCAAATGATTAGAAATCCTTAACGAATGTAAACATAAGAAAGCATGGTTACTGGAATAAAAAGAATAATTATTCTAATTTCAAATGATTAGAAATCCTTAACGAGTGTAAACATAAGAAAGCATGGTTACTGGAATAAAAGAATAATTATTCTAATTTCAAATGATTAGAAATCCTTAACGAGTGTAAACATAAGAAAAGCATGGTTACTGGAATAAAAGAATAATTATTCTAATTTCAAATGATTAGAAATCCTTAACGAGTGTAAACATAAGAAAGCATGGTTACTGGAATAAAAGAATAATTATTCTAATTTCAAATGATTAGAAATCCTTAACGAGTGTAAACATAAGAAAGCATGGTTACTGAATAAAAGAATAATTATTCTAATTTCAAATGATTAGATAACGAGTTAAACATGAAGAAAGCATGGTTACTGGAATAAAAGAATAATTATTCTAATTTCAAATGATTAGAAATCCTTAACGAGTGTAAACATAAGAAAGCATGGTTACTGGAATAAAAGAATAATTATTCTAATTTCAAATGATTAGAAATCCTTAACGAAAGTGTAAACATAAGAAAGCATGGTTACTGGTTACTGGAATAAAAAAATAATTATTCTAATTTCAAATGATTAGAACTCCTTAACGAGTGTAAACATAAGAAAGCATGGTTACTGGAATAAAAGAATAATTATTCTAATTTCAAATGATTAGAAATGTAACGAGTGTAAACATAAGAAAGATGGTTACTGAATAAAAAAATAATTATTCTAATTTCAAATGATTAGAACTCCTTAACGAGTGTAAACATGAGAAAGCATGGTTACTGGAATAATAGAATAATTATTCTAATTTCAAATGATTAGAACTCCTTAACGAGTGTAAACATAAGAAAGCATGGTTACTGGAATAAAAATAATTATTCTAATTTCAAATGATTAGAAATCTTAACGAGTGTAAACATAAGAAAGCATGGTTACTGGAATAAAAGAATAATTATTCTAATTTCAAATGATTAGAACTCCTTAACGAGTGTAAACATAAGAAAGCATGGTTACTGGAATAAAAGAATAATTATTCTAATTTCAAATGATTAGAAATCCTTAACGAGTGTAAACATAAGAAAGCATGGTTACTGGAATAAAAGAATAATTATTCTAATTTCAAATGATTAGAACTCCTTAACGAGTGTAAACATAAGAAAGCATGGTTACTGGAATAAAAGAATAATTATTCTAATTTCAAATGATTAGAAATCCTTAACGAGTGTAAACATAAGAAAGCATGGTTACTGGAATAAAATAATTATTATTCAAATATTATTTAACGATTTTTTTACTGAACGTCGTTATGGTTTTATGCTTATTTTAGTTTTTAGTGTTTTTAGTTTTAGAATTTGCTTTCAAATGATTAGAAACCATTAAATATGTTCCTTTGTTCTATCTATTTCAACCAGAAATTTAACCTGAAGATAGCTACGTAAATATGCCTCTACTTCAGCCAGTTTAACCCGAAGGCTATTATATATATATATATATATATATATATATATATATATATATATATATATATATAATGTTTGAGAGAGAAATGTCTCTTTCAAGCAATTAAGGAAACAAAATGAATTATTTTTTTCTCTTAGCCAGTGAAAGAAACACCATATTAATTCAAGAGCATGGTTTTTCAAGACAACGATTCAATAACATTTGCCAGCCTTTAGAACAATTGCAAATAAAATCCTAAAAAGAAAATACCGTATACTACGTTAATTCATTTGGTGAGGTGGAATGCAAGAGAGATTCTCAAGTCAATATTTCACTGCCTATGGAGCACCGATGCATTCTGTCATAGAACTCGTTTGATTAGTTGCGTAAAGATTCACTTTTATTCTTCCTATCACTATTTTAATCGCTTCACTGGCAAATGAATACATCAAGTGTTTGTCTCCTGAGGCAGGAAGAAAAATAACGTGATCTTTTTTTAACAAATAGGCTGTTTTCAAGATGATACCGTTATCTTTATTTTGTTTTAAAATTTGCTGACTGTCCAAGGATGTTTATCCATTCGAATTTACGATTCACATTCTGAATAATTTATTTTTCGTTCTTTATTTCTTTCTTTTATTTTTAGATTTATTTTCTTTTTTCTTTCTTTGCTTTTTCTTTTTTGATTCCCTTCCTTTTGTCTATTGCTTCTTTCTTTTTCCTTTTTATTCATTTTCCTTATTTCTTTCCTTTCATTTTTCCATTTCTGTCGCTATCTCTTCGTTTTCTCTTTGATTTTATTTTTTTATTTCCATTCTTTATTTTTCCATTTTCTTTCTTTCTTCCCTTTTCTTTTTTTCTTTCTTTCTTTCTTTCTTTCTTTCTTTCTTTCTTTCTTTCTTTCTTTCTTTCTTTCTTTCCATTCCCATTTTGAGTCCATTTTTGTTCATTCTTTCTTTCATTTTTCTATTTCATTTTCTTTCTTTTGTCCACTGATTCTTTCTTTTCTTTCTTATTCTTTTCTTTTTCTTTATTTTTTCATTTTTTTCATTTATGCATCTATTTCTTTGATTTTGTTTTTCTTTCTTTCTTCATTTTCCCGTTTTCATTCCATTATTTCTTTCTTTCATTCTTTCTTACATTTTTTCTATTTTTATTTCTTCTTTTTTGTCCATTAATACCTTCTTTTTCTTTATTTCTTTTCTTTCAATTTTTCCATTTCCCTTGTCTATTTTCTCGTCTTTTCTTTCTTTCTTTCGTACTTTTTCTTTTTTTCTTTCTTTATTCATTTATTCATTTAATCGTGTCTCGACATCATTTTCCCATTTTGCTTTCATTCTTTTTCTTTCTTTCTCTTTCATTTTTCCTTTTGTCTTTCTTTTTTCTTTTGATTTTCTGTTTTTCTTTTGCATTTAGATTTCATTCCTTTCTTTCTGTATTACTTTATATCTTTTTACTTCTTTCCGTTCACTAACAAAATTGTTGTGTAGCAGATTTTTAAACACGCAATGTTTTAAGAAGGATCTAATTAAAATGAGAAAATATTCTGTATTTTATGTGGTGCCTCTAATCCCTAATTTGGAGACTACCTGAGGTTTTTATAAACTCATATTCTGAAACTGTTCCTGAACAGGAATGATTCAATCGCGTGGATGTGACAAAGCGAGTTTTGTCTACAAATTTGTGCTTGATACTAAAGAGAGCTGGTTTGAATATTTGTCATGTAAGTTGCGATGGGATTGTAACGTTACGTATGTAAGGAGATGGAAAAAAAATGAAAGCTACGGGTAATATTTCACTTTACCATAGGTATCTGTTCCGGATCTAAATATAGCTACTCACAGTTACACATAATACGATGATCATTTTTTTTTTTTTAAGCATTTCACCCCAAGCAAGGCGGGAAGCCACTAGGACGCAAGGGGTTACAGAAAATTTAGAGTAAGATCAGATAGGAGTGATAGAAGAAAGGATGAGGAGAAGGATAGTGGATAGATCAAGGCAACTGGAGATGCCGATTGGCATTACACTTAAATCGCTGGAGATTATAGCTCTCAGGGAAACAGGAATAGGGAAGGGAGTTCCACAGACAAGAGGTGCGAGACATGAAGCTATTGGAGTAGAAGAGACGACTACATTTAGGAGTTTTTACAGTGAAGGGGTGAGAGCGGGATGCCATTTCCATTGGTATTTAATGTGAATATTTATCTTGAAGACTGTCTCCGAGCACAGTGCTTTTTAAACTATCTGATATGCTTTTTTTTTCTCAATGTGTCACGTACCTGTAATATTTCGTGGCAATATTAATTTATACTGGAAACAATATATATAATGAATATAATAAAAGTTGATTATTTTTTATCTTCCACTTATTTTGTAAAAAAATAATTCAATATCAAAACATTTAAAAAGTAAAATAAACAGGTTAACGGAAAAACAAAAATTATATAACCTTAATCTTTACAAACGATTCCTTAGCATGGCCTTGACACTAGCAGCGTACTGATGGTCCGCTTACTGGCACCGGTCCACGGAGCACCACTTTGAATAGCACTGTCCTAGCATTATAACGTTGCATTATAAACGCACTGCATACGCACGTCATTATAATGCAATAGATACAATAAGCAAAATATTATCAATGGGGAAATTTCATTCATTAGACGAAACCATAGGTTTTAATAATAAATGACAGACACAAAATATTATGACGTTAATCTGTCTAGGCAGATCATGTCATTGATCCACGAAGCCCCGATATTATTGTGGTAGATTAAGAAATTAGCAATTTTCAAATCATTATTTTTGATGTTAATTATCATCTTTCATTTCTAGTTCATAAAAAGAAATTTGATAAATTTCAGTCAATATCATTTCTTCCCCTCAGAAATTTATATTCCAAGAATACAGAAAAAAAATCTTAGACGAGGGAAAAATTAGCACGTGTTGGACTCATTGCTTTTTGGTTTGGGTTTATTCTTAAGAGAATTAAAGCCAGGTAAACGCATAAAGATGAGCACTAAAAGCAGTTTCTGTATGTCATAGAAATGTTCAGGGTTTGAGGATGGCAATGAATTTGGTACTATTTAAATTGAGTGGTCCGCTCGTAAAAAAAGAAGGGATAATTTTTAGTCGCGGGGTGGGGGATCGTTTTGTAGATTACAATCCGTTTGGTGTTCCTCAAGTCACGTCATTTGCCAGAATCAAAATAAAATATTGTTTTATTGATACGTGTCGTTAGGATTGATTCTCGTTATGCGGTTCTCTTTATAAATTAAGCATTGAATCAAATCGATTTCTCAATTCTGAAAAGGCTTTTCTCTATTTTGTTTCTTATTTACAAATCTCAAAACTAAAACTGTCATTAAATCATTGGTAACTGATGACTTTTCCATAATTCCCAACTCTTAATAGTACGAGTTCGATAAGTATAAATATAGATAAATCAGGTAAAACTTAGCAGATAGATAGATAGATATATAGATAAATCTACGGATATAAAACAGAATGGGATAGATAGATAGATAGATAGATAGATAGATAGATAGTGAACCTATGGATATAAAACAGAATGGGATAGTGTTATACCGGAACGTACCTATTCTATTGTAAATATACTCTCCCACAGATAAGTAGTAGTAGTAGCAGTCGCCAGTTGAGCTCAGTGAGTTGAGTGAGTGAGTCAGTCGATGTTGGGCATTGAAGTATGAACAACCACAACTAGATTGCTGCGTCATTAACGATTATTTCAAGTTCCTAACGTTTTGTACGTTGGACCTTTTTAGGACCGACTTAGTAAAAATACAAGCCTCCACTGTGAAACTAGTGTACAACAGATAGATAGATAGATAGATAGATAGATAGATAGATAGATAGATAGATAATGAACGTGCGGATATAAAACAGAATTGGATAGATAGATACATACATAGATAGATAGATAGATATTAACAGACTCTCGGAATTGCTATTCAGATAGGAGAAAATGGCTTCTGCATAGATACCTAAAATGAAACTGATGACATCGAGAATGTCGTAATTGAAGATGCGTTTTACGTAGGTCCGAGGATAGAGTCATGTTGGATCCCTATATTAATATGGTATGTATTAGAAGCGTTTCTATTTAACAGGATCTTCATTACGTCTTTTGTTATGAACAATTAGATTAGACCAAATATTCGTCCAGATACAGCGTAGCCCTTGAGCTTTATGGCCATCATGTCGAACGGCTTTGAGATATTTAAAGTCATGTCCCGAGCTGAAACTTAAGAAAGATATTTAGTGTTTCCGTTAAAACATCGGCAGTAAATATGGCGAAACGGAAGCCATATTGTTTATCCTAAACGAGGTCGTGTAGAGTAAGATGCTTAACCAATTCGGATTTGATTAGAGCATATAATACTTTATCAAAGGAAGGGAATAGACTAATACGAGTCAAATGCTAGGAGATAGAAGGTTCCTAGAAGTTCTTAAACTGCAGAGGCAGACTCCCATGAAACTGAAAACCAAGATGTAGCGAGGCATTTATTGTAAAGTTTCGAGAGAACAGGAGTCTGTTCAGGAGAACAATTCTTTGAGGCAACTGCAGACATACCATCGAATCCGCAATCCTTTTGCGGATCTAGTTCAGAAATGTTAGCAAAAACCATGGACGGTGTTATGTTCATATTACGCAGTAGAGACTTCCTTATGGGAGGAAAGTCAGATAGTTATACTACAGATGAGTCGAGAGTGGAGTTGGAAGAGAATTTCCGAGCAAAGCAACACTTCAAATTGATTGAAGAGATGAGGGACTGAAAGCAATTAACAATAGAGTGATTAGTAGAACGAAGGTTGGTTAGTACGAAACAATATCCAAAGTCTATAGTCCAACGGTATGTAACGGGTAACCTTATATGGACTGCTGTCGCTGACGCTCCCCCGTCCTCTCTCTAGAGCTGACTTATATAAGAGGGACCAGTCCATTTCTAGTTAGAAGGTGGGTGCGCCCCAACAAGGACCAAGACGTTCTGGTCGGCTATTTGGATTTTGTTCATTTTCAATCTACCCTCTGTTATCCAAGGGAAACGTTTATTTTACTTTTCATTTTTTTTCAACATGTCTATTTATTCCAATCTGTACGTTTATTCAAAACTCCTGTCTTTTCACGTTTTTGTTCCGAAAATGAATTAATTTTGAATAAAGATTCCCTCCAACCATTTTAATCAAATCTCCCCTTATATTCCGAGCTTTAAGGATAAATATAATGTCGATATCCTGGATATTTTTAGCACAATTAAAACCCATCGTTGTCTAAACGATATTGTTTTGACACGTTAATGTTAAGTTCTCAAGGTTTTAGACCAGTGGTAATCCAACTTTTTGAAGTTGGGGCGCAAAATGATTGTAGGCAAATATGTTATAATGAAGTCAAATATTGCAGAAATAAATAATGCAATAAAAAAAAAAAATAAAATGAAATATACATAAAGTTTATTCACCCTTGTATTTATTACAAACATGAGCCTGATGAGTTTCAGCGATTTCTTTAATGTTTGAACGTATATTTGATAGGAAGAGACATATTTCCTCCTCAATACATTGAAGAATTCCTCTTTTTTGCATTTAATTGTGATGAGATCAGAAAAGTCTAATTCGCATAAATATGAACGAGACGGGTACAGCAATATAATAAAGTAAATATATTTATTTCTCATGTCTGGACACATATTTCTATAGAATAAAACATCTTTAAGGACACACCAGTGCGCCCGGCGCACAATTTGAGACAGACTGTTTGGAACAAAGAAGTAAACAATTTTATTCCAAAAGAGATTGCATGGGTTTTAGATTTGCTATTCTGCGGAAGATTGAAAACATTCAGTTACTCAAGTCGGCCGAGGAATAAAGGCGGAGGCAATTAAGGAATAGAAGTAAATTACTCTCCTTATATCTCCAGCAAGACCTAAGTTAATCTCCTTATAGCTCCAGCAAGACAAAACTTACTCTCCTTATGTATGCAGCAAGATAAACGTATTCTCCTTATATCTCCAGAAAGAGCTAAGATACTCTCCTTTTATCTCCAGCAAGACCTAACTTAGTCTCCTTATAGCTCCAGCAAGACCTAACTTACTCTCCTTAATCTTCATCAAGACCAAACTTACTCTCCATTTATCTCCAGCAAAACCAAACTTACACTCCTTATAACTTCAGCAAGATCTAACTTACTCTCTTTATGGCTCCAGCAAGACAAACCTTACACTTCTTATTTCTCCAGCAAGATCTAGGAGACTCTCCTTATATCTCCAGCAAAAACCAAAGTTACTCT